GTAGATAAATCTTGGGCAAAGACCAATTGTTCTCAGATAAACCTTGCCTAGACATATATTTCTTGATCTGGTATGTATAATTTGCAAGTAGGTTGTTGGACTAATATGATCCTGTTTTTTTTTTTTAACTAGCTAGGCATTATTTATCTCTCTTATTGTCCAACCCATCCACCATGGTTTCCCCATTTTCCCCATTTCTCCCTTACTAATACCCTTCTCCTATGGTCCCACCTCTCTTGAGCTCCTTCTATCCCTTTATCACCTAGGTTCCTTCCCTTCCCTCCCCCCTCCCTTAAACTATCCCAATTTTTATCCATATCTCCCTTATTAAGTCCTGTTTCCTACTGTTTTTCTCTTTCAGGTTCTTTCTTTTCCTTTACCTCTCTGTTTCCTTTCCATTATCCTGGTTCCTGTAGTCATGTCTGGATACATACTCACGAGCTAAATGTAAAATTTATAATTTTATTTTTCATAGCTAATTTTACTTTGACACCAAACTTTAAATATATTCACTGTACATTAAAATAGTCCTCCTATTTAGGAAACAAACCAAAGACTCAAGTGAACACCAAGGCATCTATAGACTAAGTTGTATTTTTTTGTTTCTTATTTCCTCATAGGCCAACCGAGCAATAAGTACCATTGGATTGGTGGTGGCTGCTTCACATTTCTGGGCATGTTTCCAAAAAGACAAAGAACAAAATACTGTTAACAACCTATTGAAGAGATATTGAAAATGAAGGAATTTTGAGGAGGAAGAAAGTCCTGGGATGAATACTTATTTTGAATGCACTATTATTGTTGCAGATCCCCATGATGGATGGTAGACTCTAATAAATTGCTTGCTGATTTCATCTTATCATTGAGCCGGGAAAATTTTTCCCCCACTAGTATAGATTTGCAATGGCAGCTGGAACAAAAAGCAGTTGCCTTTTGATTGAGCCAGCAGAGGATCTTAGCAAAACCAGCATCACTTTTAATCTTCTACTATAAATATTGTTTTCCTTTTCCCTAAGGACCACTATTTTGCCAGAGATGTAGAGAACCATTTACATATGCTTTTGAAAGATGATTGTTAGGGTTGACATCAAAATTCATATTCGTTTTCTTGACATAAAAAAAAGGAAAGTGGCTATTTGCTTAGGCAGCTTAAGGATTTTTGATCAACAGAGCATCTGAGGGTATACCCCCCTCTTGCTGCATCTGTGCAGGTGTGGGTAGGTAGGGAGAGGATGAGAGGGACATTGTGCTCCTCAGCGATGTGCATGTGGAGGTCAGGGACAGCCTCGATGTCAGCCCATGCTTTCCACTTGTTTAAAGCAGAGACTACTCTGCTTCACCGCTTGTGCCAGGATAACTGGACTATGAGATAACAGACTCTCCTGTCACTGTTGCCCATCTCACTGTAGGAGCTCTGGGATTACAGACATGCATGGCAAAATCTGGCCTTTTGTGGGTCCTGGGGATCTGAAATCCTCATGCTTGTGTGGCAAGCACCTTACCCACTGAGTCATCTCCCCAGCCCTAGGGAGTTTTTTACTCTACATTCCGATCCAGTGAGTCCCTGGAATCTGTTTGCTTGTCAGGACTGAGTGATGGGCAATGAGCTGTATTTCTACTGAGATGCATAGCTTTAAGTTTCTATAGTAGCTTAGTGGTTTGACCTTTGAACCTTGGCAAGAGATCATTAAATATTGACGTAAAGTGCTATGTTTAGAAAATAACATTCCTGCATTACTGTTTGACATTTTTGTAAGTTAAGGAATGTCAAGATTTTATTCTTTCATTTTATTGATTATGAATTGAATTAAACTACTTTAAATGCCATTCCTGTTGGTGGCAGCTGGCCAGTAAAGATGGCACGCAAGTGTCTGTGCACTAAGATTACATAGGACACGGTTACACCACCCCATAAACCAGAGATCTAGACTGGCATCTTTCTCGTATCATTATCAAAAGTGCATCATTCAATAAAGATCAGTAAACATGGGGTAGAATGCAATGAAATACAGTAAAGCAACTAAACGCAGGACTCGAGGAAGCCTCATACCTATTAAACTGAATTAGATTTTATCCCAGGGCTGTAAATACTCTATAGGCTAATTGGGGTGTTAACAGTAAAGATAATGGAGGGAGTTTGTGCTGCCATCCCAGCCAGCAGAGACCCTATAGCTCATCCTTCTTTTCCTTATCGTGCCATTCTCTTCCTAATACTGCCAACTCTGTCTCCAGATGATACCCACACTCACTTCTCCTCCCTTGTTTAACTCTTCTGGAAAAGCATGAGATCACTTTTATTCTGAGTTCAGGTCTCTTATTCCTGAATAGTCAGTTATAGTCACCAATGAGCAGTTTTCCAGAATCTTCCTATTGAGACCAGCAGCAGCTTGTACCACTTTCCCCTGGTATTCCCACTTCTCAAAAAAAGGATGCCTACAGAAGGAAAATCAACTTACAGCAGGACATTTGGCTTCAGCAGAACTGCAACATGGATCAGGGAGAAGTAGTGGAATTCAGGATCAAGAGCCTCCCAGGGCCTCATGTCAAACATTTCTAGAGACCCCTGACGTTTCCTCGACAGGATATCTTCAGTGGTCAGCTTGATATACTTGGGTGGAGAAAACCTGAATTGTGCTTCCATTGGATTGACCTGGAGCCATGTCTGTGGAGCATTTTCTTGATTGATGAGTGATGTGGGAGGGCCCAGCCCACTGTGGGTGATGCCACACCTGGGCAGGGGGTGCTGCGTTGTATAAGAAAACAGGCTGAGCACAGGCCAGGGGAGCAAGCAAGTAAGCAGTGTACCCTCATGGTCCGTGTGCCAACTCCTACCTCCAGGTTCCTTTCCTGGGGTCCTACCCCAGCTCCTCTCAATGATGAATAGTAAGCTACACAACAAAATAAACCCTTAAAGTTTTTCAGTGTTTTTGCCACAGCATGATCATGAAGTATTGCTGTGTCAGACCTGACCATTATGTATGGAAGTTTTGGGAACTTTTGACGGGAAAATTGCTTGAAGCTCAGTAGCTGTTCTGTAGGAACTTGAAAGATAATGCTGAAAGAGCTGTAGACAATGGAGGCCTGGCTTATGAAGCTTCAAAAGGAAGCAAAGATTATCAGGGATGTTTGTATGATATTTTGAATTGAAAGTCTATGGTTTCTGAATCAGCTGTGATTAAGAAGATACCAGAACCACTCAAGTGAAACCTTTGCTTTACTGGGACAACTGATGCTGGTTAGCTAGGGCTGAAAAATCAGCTGTAAGTAACAAGAGACCAGCATCACTGTGGCAAAATCTTCTGGGAAGTATTTCCTCAGGGTCAGCACAGAAGCTGTGGTCCAGAGGGAGCCTGAGCCTTGATCTCAAGCTGGAAGCAGTACTTGGTAATGTGTAGGAAATTTCCTATATGGTTCTGGCATTGGAAGTGTGAAAGGGTCATGGAGACAATATGAGGCCTTGCATACTGAGAGGTTAGGAGAGCCCATTGGCGAAGGTGCAGCCTCAGTTTCAGTAGAGACCCCAACATACTGGAAAGGCCAAGACCATAGGAAGACCACCAAGAGCAGCAGCAGGTATGGAGTTGGCCTGAGAATACAAGATAAGCTATGTGTGCTGTGGACATCAGAACTAGAGAAGTGAAGCTGTCCAAGCCCTTTGGAGCCCAGAAGATCATGAGTGAATCCCAGATGTCCAGCTTTGAGCTACTTTGCTGGACATTGGTTTTGCTTAAATGTGTCTGATTCTCCCCTTTTGATGTAAGACAGGATTTAACTTGTTTTGGATTTTATAGGAGCCCACAGTTAAGAGACTTTTTAAATAGACTTTGAGCTTTTTAAACTGTTTGATTTTTTTAAGGACTGTGGGGCTTTTAAAGTTGTACTATTTTATGTTGTAATGTTTATATTAATATGAGATCTTGGGGATAAGAGATGGAAAGATTGTGGTTTAATAGTGATGTGTTTGTGTGTCAAATTGACAAGGAGTCAATTGTGTTAGATAGCTTCAGTTGTCAACTTGATACACCTGGGTGGAGGGACCCTCAGCTGAGTAATTTCCTCTGTTAGATTGTCCTGTGACCATGTCTGTGGCACATTTTCTTGATTCATGAGTGATGTGGGAGGGCCCAACCTACTGTGGGCAGTGCCACCCTGGGCAGGTGGTCCCATGTTGTATCAGAAAGTAGGTTGAGCAGATGCCAGGGGAGCAAGCCAGTAAGCAGTGTACCTCCATGATCTGTACTTCAGTTCCTGTCCTGGCTCCCTTCCATGATGAACTGTAAGAGTCAGATGAAATAAACCCTTTCCTCCCCAAACTGGTTTCGGTCAGGGTTTTTATCACAGCAACAGAAAGTAACTAAAATATCTTTATTCCAGAAGATAGTAACAGCTTTAAAAGAAAACATCAGAAATGTACTTTTAAATTCACGGATTCATTTTCTCATCTGTAGTATGAGGCTTCAGCAGTCTCATCTTGCCTTAAAAATGTTCCTATAGATAATCACTAGCATCTGATTAATTCAACCTGTTCTTCTATAAGATATTTTTCCCAATACTATGAAACTTTCTCTGAACATATTTTAATCAGTCAGTAATGGAGTTCAACTCTGTCGTGTTCCAAATAAAAGAAATGTAAAATAAAGACCATATGCATCAGATAGCACATTGTTGCTAACACTGAGAAATAAAAGCCTATACTTTTATTGAACTTTCTACACACACCACACACACACACACACACACACACACACACAAATAAACTATGCTTTCTAAATGTCATACTGTATCAACTGAATCTTTTCATTCTAAAAGTCAAGTTGCTGAATGGAAATGTCAACTCAAGGAATCCGAGCTACTATACTTTTTTAGGTTGCTATTCATTTCTTAATGACAAACTAAAAAACTATTTTTAAAGATTTATTTTTTATAGGCATACATGTCTGTGTGTGTATGTACCCGTGTGTGGGTGTCTGTGGAAGCCAGAGGAAGGCATCGGATCCCTTAGAACTAGAGTTACAGGCAGTTGTGAGCCACTTGAGGTGAATGCCGGGACCCAAACTTCTCTGTGAAAACAACAAATGATCATAACTACTGAGTATCTCCCACCCAAATCCTGCCTTTTAAAACTCCATCTTATTATTTTTGATGGCCACTGTCTCTTTGCTGTCATTAAATATCTGACATTAAAATTTCTAGACATGGGCTAGAGAGATGGCTTAGTGGTTAAGAACACTGACTGCTCTTGCAGAGGTCCCGGGTTCGATTCCCAGCACCCACATGGCAACTACAAACTGTCCTTAACTCCAGTTCCGGGGATATCCAAAGCCCTCTTGCACGACATGGGTGCACTCACATACATGCAGGCAATACACTCATACACATAAAATAAAAATAATAAAATATAGCCAGGCGTGGTGGCACACTCCTTTAATCCCAGCACTCGGGAGGCAGAGGCACATGGATCTGTGTGAGTTCAAGGCCGGCCTGGTCTACATAGTGAGTTCCAGGACAGCTGGAGCTACAGGGAGACCCTATCTCATAAAGGACCAAAAAAAATTAATAATAATAATAAATAGTAGTATGGCCTTAAACACCCAAAAGGAAAGTATAACCAAAGATTAAAGGGCCA